ACACACACACACGCACGCACACACACACACACACACGCACACACACACACGCACGCACACACACAACTTGCCTTTGACTCACCCGTGAAGAATAGCTGCAGCTACACCTACTGATAGTGAGACACGGAAAGACAAAATGTAAATGTTATGTAAATATGTTATTTGTAATTGTCTTGTTTTAAATCATTTTGTCTTCTCTGTTTTCATAGATTCATAGATCGAGCCATCATTGCCCCTAATGATTCGGACATCAAGAGCCACAGCTGCTGAGAGGAAAAATGAAACCATCTCCGTGGTCCGTCCTGCACATACGGTTTGTATTTGTGTTATTGTTGCATATAGTTCTTCTACAAGCTCAGGCAACATTCTGCATTGCTCTAACGCACATTATCTCCCTCCACAGTCATTACAACCCATAGATGAGTTCTTCCTCTTCTTAATGTATCTGGCAGCTGGCCTAACGGAGAGGGACCTGGCAAACAGGTTTTCAGTGCACCAGTCCACTGTTAGCCAAATAATATCTACATGGACAAATTACTGTGTGTATGTATGTATATGTATGTGGGCATCTGGATGGAAAAGGAAGACGTACGAGCCAATCTCCCTGAAGTGTTCCAGGACTTCTCCAACACCCAGGTCACTTGGTACTGTACTGAGCTGAGATGTCAGACGCCATCATCCCTGCTACTACAGAGTGAGATGTATTCAAATTACAAGTCTCACTGCACCATGAAGGGACTGATGGGATGGCTCCCCATGGTGCAATAACCTTTGTGTCTCCCTTGTATGAGGGGTCTGTTAGTGACAAAGAACCCTTCAGACGTTCAGGCTTACCAGACCTACTCACGGATGATATGGCCATCATGGTTGACAAGGGATTTTTGATCTCAGATGTGGTGAAGTGCAAAGTTTACTGTCCCCCTTTTCTACAAAAAAGGAGACAGATGCCTGCCCAGAGTGTCCTCCAGACACAAAAGATAGCACGTCTAAGAGTGCACGTTGAAAGGGTCATTAGGAGAGTGAAGGAGAACAAACTTTTCAGTTCCATCATCCCACTATCAATCAGTGGTAACATCAATGGACATGTCACACCATGTTAGCCTGGTCAAGAGAAGTTGTCCTTGGACCTGCCAAAAGTAAGCATGACTTCTTCTTAGCTGAAAACTCCCATTAGACATTGACAAATATTTATATTCCACGTAACTTTTTACATTGGGACACTGATTTCAACTAAACCAGATGATAGGGTAACAGTGGGGTCATAGACCAGTCCATCCGGAAACGTGCCAGGCCATGGTGCTTGTGGATGGATCACCAGTCCGCAAGGTGAAAAATTGACGTGTATATTTGACATACTCCTTAGCAGCCTCAAACTCCATCTCTGCTCCCCTTCTCATACAGTATCTGCGGTCTGCCTGGTGCCACGAATCCTCCTCTCAGCCAGAGACTCTGAGGTACTGTGGCCACGCACACGGCACACTTCACGAAACCTCGATGATGTTATTCTGGTCTTTTGTAGCATACTGTATGCCATTCTGGAACTGTGCTTTGGTCACGTGTGGATGCCTCAATTTTATGGTCAAGCTTCGCAGGTGCAACTGTTCCTCTTCTGTGCACATCCACATGCACTCCTCTGGCGTGAGGCTGTGGGCCTCCAGGGGAAGGCTGGGATAGGCTGGGGCATTGCGGTGTATGACAATGTTTTTGGAGTGGAGTTTGGGCTGCTGATAAGAAAGGATACTCCTTCTCTGCACCAGTCCGAACTCTGACTCTACAAGTGGTTTGGTTGCACTCATACCCATAGTAGTCACCAATGGCCTATCTAGAGGATCCAGTTCACTGTACGCGTCTGCCACCCACAGCACAGACAGGTAAGGAAGCGGCCCGAGCATTCCTCTTGTCAGGGTACTCCTTTGAATAAAGCATATTAAAAAATGTATGAATGTGTGGAACTACACTGATGTACATAACAGGTAAGGTATACAGGTAAGTGTGTGTGTGTGTGTGTGTGTGTGTAGCACCAGCAAAGCCAATAAGTTTGGAGATGCAGCTCTCTTTCACAGGTGAGTCAAAGGTGAGTTGCATGTATAGATGGATAGATACCTTATTAATCCCCACAAAGGTTTGGAAGCGACACTGCTGTAAAAAACATGTATAATGTGATGTAATTAAGTGTGTGTGTGAAAAAAATGTACAATGTAATGCAATTAAGCATTAATGTACCGTAAGCCGCCTTTCCACATTCGGCCTTGCACAGGCTTTGTGACAACCATCTTGCCAATTGGTCCTGGTTTTACACCCTGAGAAATAAATAAAGTAAGTGTTGCGAGTCTTCATTGTAAAATAGGTCACCTTAATCATCTTTGTAACATGTGGGATTATGAAACTTACAGCAGTCCGAGGTTTGTGGCACTGCTGCTCTTCTTCAGTGCAGCTGTGAACTGGTGGAACCACCGGCACACTGAGCTGAGAGAAGTGAGCAGTCTGGTATAGAAGGGCAACTGTATGGTTGTCTCAGTTTTTCAAAACAACGAGACTTTCTGGTGTTTTAATTCATTTTGAATATATTGTGAGAATGACATATGGAGGTTTCAGAAAAGTCTGCAGCTGTTAAATGATTAAATTATAATGCTAGTGTATTTAAACTAGTTAAGCTAAGTGACTAAATGATGATGCTAATATATTTCCCCCTAATCATGCTGTACAGTGAGAGCAGAGAGGAGAGACTGACTGCATCTTTACTACTTTATTCAGATACAACATTACAATCTCTTTCAGTTCAGTTCAACATTATTTCACTTCAAAATGACAGATGTTTCTCAAGATGATCAATTATCCACAATTAATAACAGATCAATCGGTAAATCATAATATTACTGCCGTTAAAGTGCATTTGCACAATCCAGCTCTCGCTATTTATTTTATTAAACAAACATTATTCAGACCTTCATCTGATGATAATGGTCTTACATACAGAAAAACATGAATTAAATAAAACATGAACCTTTTATTAAATTATTAGTAAATTAAATAAAACATGAACCATCCTTTTAGTTTATTCTCCCTCAGATTCAGCTCTTTCAGATGAGAGGAGTTTGAGCTCAGAGCTGCAGTCAGAGCAGCACCGCCTTTATCTGTTATTCCACACTGCTCTAACCTGCAGACAAAGGGACAATAATGTAGTTCATGCGATTCAGTGTAACACAAACACAGCTGTTATATTAACACAGATTAAATTAAATTAGTGTGTCTCCTGGCACAGACTTTTAAGCACAGTCCACATTTTTGATGGCGTTGAGGACAGTAGTTGTTTTAAGCTTAGTGTTTGTCTGCTTTATCCATTCCACACTCAGCTTTGATGTGTGTTTGGGGTCAGTGTCCTGTTGGACACCCAAGTGTGTCCAAGTTTCAATCATCTAGCTGATGGTTTGAGGTTCTACTGAAGAATTTTGAGGTTCTTTATTATTCCACCCACTTTGTGCAATGCAGCAGTTCCACTGAAAGCAAAACAGCCCCAGAACATGATGCTGCCACCACCATGATTAACAGTTGATAGTGTTTCTCTGTACCTCTGGTCACTGTGGCCAAACATCTCAAACCTTTGTCTCATCTGACCATAAAACTTTCCTCCATGACAACACACTGTACTAATTACTAATTACTCAGAATTAAGGCTGTATTTTATGTATACTGGGGAGAGCGCTCACCTCAGTGTCTTCACATTCTGGATCATTCATTAAACTCCTGAGCTGCTTCATTCCTGATGCTCCAGGGTCGTTCCCTCTGAGGTCCAGCTCTATCAGGTGTGATGAGGGGTTTGAGTTCAGAGCTTTAACCAGAGCTGTGTATCCTTCCTGTTTAATATCACAGTCTGAAAGTCTGGAGAATGGTTTCATTTTTGTTCTTTCTCAGGCATGTTCTTTATTTACCTAATGTGGAAAATTGTGAATCACCAGAACCTGTCTTGTCCAAGCAGCATTCTACCATGGACTCAAATTCCCATGACTACAGACAATATGGCCACCACACACAAGCTTTCTTCCTCCTGGACTACGAAATGGATTCAGTCGCATCTAATTAGCTCTCACTCACTCACTGAACTGTTTAAAAGGACTGTTTCATTCACAATCTAGTTGTGAAGTAATAGCTGTTACTCTGTAGCAGTAGTGCCAAGCCTTTCTATTTTACTGTACTGTGTATTTGACTCTGGATTGTCTCTGGTCTCTGCTTGTGCCCTACTGTACGTTACAGTGTTGCCATAGTGTCTGACCTCTGTTTTATATTACAACTGTGATTACCTGCTTACCTACATATACCTGTTTGAGTGATCTCTGACCTGAGTCTGTTTCCTGGGTTCTGATTGTCTTTGTGATTCTGTACCTCTGCCCAAGGTTTATTTTTAAACTTCGTGAATCGCACCTGCAGTAACAGCATCTGCGTGTTAATCCTGACAGCTACTTATTACCTGTGTCTTGTCTTGTCACTGTCATTCTGTTGCACTGTAGAGTTCTGTCACTATAACAAATTCCTCGTATGTGTTAACATACCTGCCAATAAAGCTTATTCTGATTCTGATTCAGTAATCATAGTGTTTTTAGAAAGCGAAGTAAAGTCTTTAATGGTTATTTTATTTATTCTTATGTATAAGAATACCAACAAGACATTTTTCATAATTTGATTTCAGATTTGTACAATAGAAAAGTGAATTGACACAAAAGCACACTGACCCTATAATAATCATAATAATATAGCCTAAATAAATAAATAAATGATTAAAGTATTTTGAGTAGCTTTTGTTTGTCAATGATAGTTTCCTTTTACAATGTGAATGATTACAGTTTTTATTCATTAATGAACAACACATCGCACTTTTTAATAGTTTCTCTGTAACAAGGAAATTACCTTATTTTTCATTCACTTCAAGAGAAAGAAAAAGTGAAGCTGGTGAGTGAACTGAAGCCACTGCTGAACGATTAAAAAAGTTATGTCCCTGTTTTTTACTCTCAGTGGTATGTCCTAAAACATGGAGACCACTACCCAGAATGCAATGCACATGACATTGTTGCCATTTCTCTATAAGTCTGACGTGCAAGATAACAGCTCTGCGAAGTGGGCGTCATGTCGTAGACGTATCGTGTAAGTTCTGTTCATATGAAGTTAAACCTACTTCACACGTTGGGGATCTCACAAAGTTTTTCATTTACAGTAGGTCAGTGCAGTTCATGGTCAGTTTGATAAACTCATGATAAACTCATGATGAGCTGTATATGCCCCAGATTTCTCTTACCTGTATGCAAACCGTGCCCACTGCCAAGCCCGATTAATATCTTTATATTTGAGGACAATATCAAAATAAAGTTCAGTGAAAGATGTGAGATCTTATTAACAATTATTCATTTAGGTCAATGTACTTGCTTTAGCAAGTTTGTGATGACTATATTCTCAGATTTCTCTCATTTATATGAAAACTGTGCCTACCTCCAAGCACTAATTTATTGTCCCTTCTGGGTTTTTTAATTACTATTTTAACGCTCATTAAAATATTGTAGTCCAGTTCTTAAAAAATAGATTAAAAAAAAAGTAATTAAGAAAGGAGATCTAAAAATGTGTAATGTTTTAAACTCTCTTATATTTCAGGTATCCTACAGCACAGTAGGAAGTTATCTACAGCAAAACAGAATCTTTAAGCAAATAACTACAGATCCGTCTATCTATTTCTGAGCAGTAGTAAAAAGTTACATCAAGGTTTTATTTTTGGGTTACACTTGTAGTTTTTTTTTTTTTTTTTTAGAATTTTGTGTTAAGCTGTTCATTGTCTTGTGGGCAGGACAGTGTGCTTTAGTTTTGCCATTTTAGGGCAAATAGTGTCTGCATTATAGCATGATTAGGGTTTGTCACAGTACTAGAATTTAAAACTCAATGATGATACCAAGGAAATACTTCACACTCAATACCATTTCCTCTACCACAGGGGGAAAATAACAAAAGCCTAACTCCCACTTTAACATTATTGATGTATTATTAGCCATAGCCGCTAGCTGCTACTTGAACTTAACAGATGGCTAATGCGGCTATCGGCTAATTGCTAATAGTTAAACAGCTAATGTTAATGTGTGTACCGGTCAGATTAACCATCTGTCTGGTTTTAGGCCGTGATAGTCCGATTTTGACTG